ATTAAAAAGTTAACCATGATGAACTAAAATCTAATTTACTGGACCCCTTAAGTTATCATAAACTTCTTCCTCACTTTAAAGGAGAAATATAGGCCGGGCTCGGTGGCTCAGCCTGTAATCCCAGCACTTTGGGAGGCCGAGGCAAGTGGATTGCCTGAGTCCACACATTCGAGACCAGCCTGGGAAACTTGCTGAGACCTTGTCTCTACAGTAAATAAAAAATTAGCTGGGCGTGGTAGCCCATGCCTGTAGTCCCGGCTAGTTGGAAGGCTGAGGCAGAAGGATCGCCGGAGCCCAGCAGGTTGATGCTGGAGTAGCCATGAGCATGCCACTGCACTCCAGCCTGGGCGACAGAGTAAGATTCCAAATAAAAAAAAAAGGAGAAATATAAATAAAAAGAAAAAAATAAATAAATCAGAAGCAAGTCTGTATACTGCTCTATGTACAATATACATTCAATGATACCTATTAGCCCCACTAAGTAATTTAATTGCATATCACAAAGCAGGCTATTTCTAGCATTCCGGGGAATATCTGAAATGGGGGGAAAGTACCCCAAACTACAGTAACATTAAGAGTTTTAATTAACAGAAAATATATTTAGATAAAATATCAAGTATAAGAGACACTTAATGAGAGTTCCTAGGTGACCTCAGTCTCTAAAATCCATTTACTTGACTCACAAATATTAGTGATTTTTTTTTTCCAGTGTTAGGCTTCAAATGCCATGGGTGTGTTAGTGTCTGGGTCCATCTTCCCAGTTCTCTGCTGCACCGCTGCATGTACAGCTCTAGGCAGAAGCTGATGCCACTATTTGGCTCCATCAGCTGAGGAGCTCACATTGGACTGCTGTCCCCTCAACTCTGCCAGTGCTGGGCATCTTTCTGGTTGTATTTTTCTACAGTCTTGCCAATTTCCTGACTTTCAGGAAGTTATAGACTGTAATGTAGCTTTCATTTGCCTGGTATACACATGTGCAAAAGCAAACCCCATGTCACCACGGGGAAAGGAGCTTAATGCCTTTTGTAAGTGCTTACCATCTTTCTATTTGATCTATTTGCTAAGACAGAAATTTTTCTGTCTTAGCAAAGGGCTTGTCTTGCTCAATTTTTTCTGCAATTTCTTACCCTCTTCATATTACCCTCCTATGTTACAATTTTATTATAATTAGTAAATAGCTTTGGTATAACTCTTAGACTGCTCATATTTTCAATATAGTTTCCAGTAACTCTGCATCCACATCCTCAAGATTTTGTAATGATATGAGTCCTAGGGCTGATATGTTTGAGAAGGTGGTCTATAAATAATAAGGAAGATAATGATGGAATTATACCTACCACACTGTATGGTAGGGAATTGATTAGACCTTTAAAAAAGATTCATCACTGGAAAGGCTCTAACCAGGATTATTTTTCCACATACTTGAATCAGGAAATACTTGTTGACCTCTTAACAGTGTTTAAATGCAAACCCTTTTGAAACATGTTCTTCCTTTAGCTTCTAGAACTCCTGGTTAACCTCTTAACTTCTCAAGTTGATGTTGACAGCTCTTCTTCCTAGTTTACATGCCTCAAAAGCAAGCTTATAGACATTTCCCAGGCCTCTCTAATCTCCTGCCAAAAACATTTCACCCACCCTTAATGGCTTAAGACTTCTCTGCTGATCATACTGGAATCATCCTGCTCCCCTACCCCCACCTCCCGCAGTTTCTAGACTTACACTGTCTGGTAAGGAAACCGCTAGCCGCTAGTAAGCACTTAAAATGTGGCTGGTTCAAATTGAGATGTACCTGATTTTGAAGACTTGGCACCAAAGAAAAAGATAATTTAAATATCTTTTTAGTAATTTTTATATTGATTAGATGTTGAAATGATGTTTTATATATACAGTTGACTCTCAAACAACATCATGGGTCCACTTACACATGATTTTTCTCCTGCCTCTGTCCTCTGAGACAGCAAAACCAGCCCCTCTCTTCCTCCTCCTCCTCTTCACCTACTCAATATGAAGATGATGATTATGAAGACCTTTATGATAATCCGCTTCCACTTTATGAACAGTAAATACATGTTCTTTTACTCGTGATTTTCTTAATGACAATTTTCCTCTAGCTTACTTTATTGTAAAAATGCAGTATGTGATACATAGAACATATAAAATATGTGCTAATTGACTGTTGATGTTATTAGTCAACAGTAGGCTATTACTAGTTAAGTTCTGGGGAGTCAAAAGTTATATGTGGATTTCAACCATGTGTGTGTGGTGGGGGGTTCAGTACCCCAACCCCCCGTGTGTTGTTCAAGGATCAATTATATTGGTTAAATAAAATATATTACTAAAATTAATTTTGCTTGTTTCTTTTTATCTTTTCTTAAATTGAGACTACTAGAAAATTTAAAATCATATACATGGCTCATATGACATTTCTACTGGGCAAAACTGCTCTACAACTAAAATTTAAATTTCAAAATTCAAACTTACTATTCAAATTGTACACATTTAAAAATTGAACTCATTAGATTCTAGGCCCTCAAACCTGCTCCTTCACTTTTAGGATAGAATAAACATCAGCCAGCATAAGACAGATACAAGGCATTCCACTGGCCACTGCCATTGAGGAAATTGTACGACAAAGGAGCTAACCCTAGAATGAACTTATGAACAGGTGACAGGTTGACTCTGTCAAAGAGCCTGTTAACACCTATTCATTGGCAGCTGCAGCAGGAATGTTTGAACGACTGGGAACATCACAAGCATTTGATTAGAAAGGGGCAGCAGCAATTAGAAACACAAATAGCCAGAGATTTGACAAAATAGTGAATTAAACTTACATGCATTCAAAGTCAGAAATGTTAGCGGTTATACATTTCATCGTAGCACGATTTACTGTGGAAACTGAACCACCCTAATGTGCCAAATATCTTCTTGCATTATTTCAACTAAAGAAATTTTCCTCTTCGTCTAGCCTGAAATCTGGAGTCTTTTTTTTTTTATCATCTCTTTTCCTTATTATCCACACCCAAATAACTGCCAAATCCCATATTCTACCAACTCCTAGTACACCACATCCACATTTTTTTCTTCCTTAAAGAAAACCAGAGAAAGGAAACACAGGTTCTGATGCCTCCCCCTCAATCCCACAAGGCCTGGGACTCACAGCGAGGTCGGGAAAAGGAAGGGAGAGCCAACCTCCACGTTGTGCACTTGTGCAGCCTACCCACAGAGTAAGGCCTGCCTGTCTCCTGCAGAGTAACTTTCCAAAAGTATCCTGTTCTCCACAGCTCCCCTCCAGCAGAAAAAACAGGTCATCAGGAATGCAAATACTGTAGATGAGACAGAAGAGCCCCCAAGACACCTAAGGATGACCCAGGAAAGTCTGTAGAACACAACACACATGATTTCCCTTCTTTGTTTTTTTCTTTTCTGTTCTCTCACCCTAATCTTCTTTATTGCCTTCTTTTCTGAACGCACATAGGTTGCATGGGCAGGCAAACACAGTTCAACCACTTTGCATGGCACAATGCATAAGTGATTCTGGATTATCTTTGACTTGCATTAGAGAAGTCATTAAGAGTTGCATATACACCAGGCCATTATGTCAACTAAAAAATAACATGCACACCTTATTAAAGTTTAAAACTTTTTGAGCAGTCTAGAAATACTCTTCTTTCTGGAAATTGTCTAATTATATGCTATATGTCAGACACTTTATCAAGCTACTTAAATTTTATAGTTTCATTTTTAAAAAACTGTATACTTCTGGCACCTTAGGCTGTGCAAGTCCTTGTTCGATAATAGAACGCATCATTTTAAATTAGAAATGTCTTCTTTTTTGAAATGTGAACAGTCATATTGAAGCAATGGCATTTTTATCATTCCTTAACAACTTGGAGTTAAAATTCCAATTTTTTAAATATAATCTACTTTTTAAGATTGTTACTTAGTTAAAAAGGTACTTTTTAATGCCAGATTTTTGCTTGAAGAAACTAATTTGGCCTAACGTATGTGCCATAAAAACAGATTTATAATGGAAAGGTTGACACATTTAAATGTAAACTGAGTTTCATTTCAGAAAAATTAACATCATATTCCTCAACTACAATAGATTTGAAGGATAAATTAAAATAATCACTTCAAGAAATTATCAATTGGTATTTTAAGAGTGTTATTCCTCCTAAGATGTTCCATATTTGGCATATCTAAATTTGACTAGAGATGATCAACTGGAGATCATCTTACCTAAAAGATTAGGCCTGTTGGGCATGCATTTCAAAGCACAAATGTATCTGGCTGTCATCGACTCCAAATTAAGGTAATAAATTATGTTGTGCGAGGAAACAAGCTATAGAAAAAAATTAATATTTTAAATTAATTTTCCTAATACATGTAAACTGTTCATAGATAAAGTATTTTTATATTTATTCCCATCAAAACATTCTAGGTGGTTTCCAATGTGTAGATACATCAAAATCTATTTGCAGAAACTCTCCTAACTATATATAGGTTAAAGGCAAAAAAAAAAAAAAAAAAAAAAATTGATGCACAGATTAAAAATAAACAAAAGTGTCTTTGAGTTGATCCTCTGTGATTCTGGTTGAGCTTGAGTCTAGTTACTGCTTCAACCAGTGCCTCTGCTGTTTAGTTGGTGCCTGTGTCTATACCTACCATTTATTTACGTGTTAAATAAACACCACATCAAACAGGATTATGAATACTACTGATCGTTCATGTACTGTACCTTGTCTGAAATCAAATCCAAGTTATGGCATGATTACATATTTTACTAAGTACACTTAAATTCTTTGATTTAGAAGAACTCTATCTCCACAAAATGTTTCTACAGCATAAATCACGATGACGCATGACTCAAGTGCAGCCATGACCCAGCAGAGAGTCACCCTGTGCATCCACACACCTCCTTGTGTAAAATCTTAGTGTTACTTAACTCTCTTTCCAGGTTGCATTTACCAAACTTGCACCACCACGACCATCCCCTGTACCTTTACTGCGCCATTCTCATGCATGGTGATGCAGTTGTCGGGGTCCTCTGAAAGCTGATACAAGGCCTGAGCTGTTGCTCGGTGAACGTTGGTGTCATCTGATCTCAGGTAACGCACTAATGGAGCCACGGCTCTGTGCTCGCCAAAGGCTACTCTGTTCCTGCCCCACATACAGCAACGTGAGATGGCTTCTGCCAGATGACGCCTCAGTTTATCATTATTCTGTGCAAAGGAAAAAGAATGGTGGGATGTGTGAAATCATGTGTATGTATTTTATGTTCATGGCCCACGAGATGTCAAGGGTCTAGAGAAAAGGGCCAGCTAGCTGCTTAGGTGGTGCCTTCAAGGAATTAGAAACAGACCCAGCTTCAATCCTGAGTTCTGTTTATGAACTGAATGTGGTTAGTGCGCTCAAAGGTGACGAGGCATTTGACATCAATCATTTGCTAAAGGCTTGAGTTTCTTTAGAGCAAGTCTACTCGTAACACAAAAGTACAGGTTAGCCAGGCTCAGCCTGTAATCCCGTGCTTTGGGAGACTGAGGTGAGGGGATTGCCTGAGCTTGTCTGTTCGAGACCCGCCTGGGCAACTTGGTGAGACCTCGTCTCTACAGTAAATCCAAAAAATTAGCTGGGTGTGGTATCGCGCGCCTATAGTTCCAGCTACTTGGAAGGCTGAGGCGGAAGGATCGCCAGAGCCCAGCAGTTCGAGGCTGCAGTGGCTGGGCGGTCACTGCACTCCAGTCTGGGTGACAGAGTGAGATTCCAACTCAAAAAAAAAAAAAAAAAGTACAGGTCAGCAAGTTGCCTCATAACACGAATATTTTTTTAAACTATTGGCTATTCTTAAAGCAGCACTTCACTTAAATGGGATATGTGAATTGCCTCTCCTTCATCCTCGAGATACTTCTAAAGCGGAATACACCTTGTCCCAAGAGGGAGAAGATAGGACAACAAATATGATGACACATTTTGAGTCTGTCATTTTCCTTTCTGTATTTTTATGCAGACTATATCCTTCTTTTTGTATGTATTTCCCTCATATAAGTATAAAAACTGAATAGGATGCTTTTCTGTGTATTAACTGCACTGTTCTCTTGATTCAGGCAACACCCTGGTGTCCTTAACTGAATCCAGTAAATACTCTCTGGAACTCAAAATCTTCTAGACTAAGCACCCTTTCAATGTTTAATTTCTACTCTATGACTTTTCTGCCAAGTGGTAGTCCAAGCTATGCTCCAATACCTCTGGTCATGGTGAAGTCATTGTCTCTCAAGCCTGCTTATTCTATCTGGCACAGCTCTAGACAAACAATACAGTAACTGCCAAAGCCTTCTAACTTCAGAATGCCGTCGATCCCAGCTTGCTAAGCTAGGGGAGGCGCACTTGACTTCTAACGTTGGCATGAACCACTATCGTAAGAACAATAATAAAGGTGGTGGTGTTGAGGATGATAGTTAACACTTACATAATAGCACTTATATTTGCCACCACTTCATTGCCAGTGGCAAATAAAAAACAGCCTGTTTTTACAAGGATCTTGCATATTAACATTTTATAGTTCAAAATATACTTTAACATGTAGTAGTCTCAGAGAAGTTAAAATTAAAATTTCATGCCTCATAAGCAATGGGTATTAATTTGAATCTATGTCCCTGAACTCGAAGCTCATTGTTTTTTGCCACTGCACCCTATCCTATGATGTTAAGTATTTACACAAAAAAGATGTGTTTCTTACTGTGTTTGCCAGCTTGGACAATAAAGGGACAACTCCATGATCTGTAATAACAGCTAAATTTTCTTGATCTTTTGCTATATTGGTAATAGCAGCACACACACTTGCCAAAACTTCTTTGTTATCTGATTTCAGTAAATTAACAATAAGTTCCAAACCACCAACAAAGGAACGAACCATTTCTCCAGCATCCTAGAGAAAAATAAAAATAAAGACAGTATCAAAAACAAACCTATATTTAGGTTTTTTTTTCAGGCAGGAAGTAACAATAAGGCTGCAAAGTACACGTTTGACCTGAAAGATAAATTCAGTTTAATTTATTTCTATATTGTATATAATTTCTATGTATGTATATGTAAAGTATGTATGTGTATATGAGTATATAAACATCTGTAACACATAACATATTCGGTTTCAACAAATATTTATTGAATAACTATTATGTGAGAGTCACTGTGTTAGTTACTGAGGATATAGGAGTTAATAAAATACAACCCATTCTTACTATTTGCAGTAGTTCTGTTCTGCAAAGTCCCCACAAACACTGAGTGAGCCAATATTGACCCACTGCTCTTAGGGGAAAACAGAGTTAGGGTCATTGGCCACAACATGTTCGTCAGCTAATGGATACATAACCTTGTGTTATGTGTGTTTTTGTTTGAAGACACTTTACTTCATATACATTGTTAATTCATTCGCCTTGAACCTGTGGCCAACAGCAGTATAACTCATGCAGCAAGGCTTATCTAACACAGACAGGCACACTACACAGTCTTCCTGCACCTGGGAACCTAGGGAGCACTTCAACACTCTGCCTGGGGCCATTATGAGCAGCAAAAAGTACAAAAGTGTGAAAAATGCAGCACCAAACAGATCACAAAATGGGCACTTTCCTACAGGATAAGAACTAGAACGAGAAGGCAGAGCACTGCCTTGTTCAGCCTCAGCTGGGAGCCTGCACCCTGGAAAACCCAAATTTTTCACTTCTCTGTGCAGGTCCAGGAATGATCGTGAAAGCACTCTGAGTATTGATTTGGGGGTTGCAAGTAAGTTTTAGAAAGTAAGCAAATTCCTAAGCAGAATTTATGCATTATGTAGACTGACTGTACATATTCTTTTACCGTCATGCTGCTTACCACTGGTAGGGAAGATGGGCCTTAAGAAATTATGAGTATTACAAATAGCCCTGAGGGAGGGGGAGGAAGAGAAACTACAGATACACCCCAATGAGGGAATCTCAACTAGTGCAAAGACTCAAGGACTGGCTCCCCAGAGGATGTTTGTAAGACCCTAAGGATGAAGAGTTATCCAGTTGAATGGGGATTTGGGATGGAAGAGGCATCATGTAACATAGATCTTTTGAATGAGAGAGAAAGAATTATGTTTTCTAGTTCACAATGGTTAGAGCACAAAATCGGAAATGGAGCATGGGAGAAAATGGGAGGCGGGAGATGAGACCTTAAAGGGTTTTGTAAGGCTTGCTAAGTAGTTTGGAGTTCATTTTAAGAGCATTTGAAAATCACTCAAGAGGTTTAAGTGTGTGGGGGAGGGGAATTTGTATCTTCTTTATGTTTTAGATCTCAAGATTACAGGGTGCAGGGATGGCGTGGGAGCAAAGAATGGTGTGGGAACCCACAGGCTATTTCACTAGTCCAGACGAGAGGTGGTGATAGTCTAGACAAAGCAGTAGTCTGGGCCTAGAGAGAAGGGTGTGGACTTGAGAGGCTTAATTGGAGAAGATGGGAACATGTGATTCAAGGGATGATTCCCCTGTTTCTGCTTTGACATAGTGGTGCCAATGTGGAGAAAGCAGGGTTTGGTTTGGTTTTCTTTTCTTGGGGTAGTATTTGGCATTAGAAGACCTAATTTGAATAAATACCTGCAGATATTTAAGTGGAGACATCCAAAAGTCAGGTGGATATATAAGTTTGGAGCTCAGGAAAGAAACCCAGGCTGGAGATGTAGATTGGGAAGTCATCAGGGTAAAGATGGAAATGGACATCACCAGTGTGCAGAGGTAGGGGGTGAGATAAGGGTGGGCTGCCTGGTGTCCTAGGTGGGATCCAGGGGAGAGAATTTGTCAGAGGATGCTGAAAACAGATCCCCACCTCCTTGGAGGTTGTATGGAGGGCAGAGAGTATAATATCCTCCATTATTTGGTTTCATAATTTTCTCAAACAATAGAAGTTAGCATCTTTGAGTCCCACCTGTTTATCAGGCACTGCAGTACACACTTCACGTGTATTATCTCAGTTAAACCTCACAGGGACCCTGCAAAGTAGGTATTATTTCCACTGCAGATTTTTTTTTAAAACTGAGGCTTAAAGATGTTCAACCTTATAAACTAGATGATATCCCTCATGAAGGTAGGGAGAATGTCTTACTCAACTTAGTGATCTTTAGAAGTCATAAATTTGATTATGATTATTCTATCTTTATACTCCCCAAATTCTTTCAAAGTTTCCCCTGACCTTAGGATAAAATTCACACTCCACAAGGTGGTTTCCAAGCCCTTCCTCCATGGGTCACCTCCAGCTCACCTCTCTAGCCTCAACTTCCCTGCCTTGACTCCCCTTCTCCAACCCCACAAGCATACCCTGGACCAGCGGGTCCCCATATGAGCTAGTATATAAGACTTCTGGGACTCATTCCCTGAGAATGTGATTCATTAAGTTTGGAGTGAGGACTATAAAACAATTCGTATTTTAAAAATTTCTCCCGGTGAGTCTGAACTTCAGCCAGTGTTGGGCACACTGCTTTATGTATTAGTTTTCCAGGTTTCACGTCCTCAAAATGTGCTGCTTGCACATGTCTCCACGCCTTTGCACAAATCTTTTTTTGTCTCTTTTTTTTAGCTTAGGAATTCCTGCATGTCCTGATTTTCTTCAGGAAGCCTTTCCTGTACCATAGGTCTGGGTTAAGCAGCATCACCTGTAATACAGGGTTCCTGTGTGATACTACTTACCACTCCATGCAGTTGTGGTGGATGGTTTGCCTTTGCCCTTGAACTGTCAGTTCCAAGAGGGCAGGGACTCTTTCTGTTGTGCCCAGTGCCTATACCAATTTCTAGCAGTTAGAAGACACTCAATTAACATTCATTGGATTTGATTATTTGCAAATTTACAGCTATAAAAGGATGCTTTCCCTGTAGGCATAACAAACCACACCGAGTTCCTAGTAAATGATGAAGGCAGGACCAAGTCAGGTTCCACCTACGAGTGAGAGCAAAGTAACCTTCTCCACAACAGGTGACCTCTCTTGATCACGGTGAGAAGTGCCATCAGTGATACCAGTGGCCTAGTTCTCAGTATCAAATCTAAAAAAAATCTGATAGGATATAATTCCAAATGATGATATAGTCAGAAAATTATTTTGAAAATATTTAATTGCCATTCTTTCTAAAATTCTACAATAAAACTTTTTTTGTAATACAAAAGTAGTTATTATATTTTCAACTGTCTTCCACATTATCACCTTATTAAACTTCTATGCATTAAGATGCTGTCAAACCAAAAGATTATAAACATGAATTTAACCTTCAAATAGTCTAATCTCAATCACCCTTTGAGGCAGTGAGTAGTGGTATTTGGAGTGGTAGTAGTATTTCCATGTCATAGATGAGGAAAGCCTTAGAGGAATGAATTAATATGTGAAAGGTAAAATGCAGAGGTGGAATTTGAATCCAGGTCTGTCTGATCCCAAAGCCCCCCTACAATAATGTGATCTGTAAATCTTTACTACATACTTGGTCCAAATGAAGCCATACATATGTAAATTCAAATGCAAAAACCATGGTTCTTTCTCAGAATTTCAGGGAACTTCCAGAACATAGCCCCAAAAGCCCAGCTTTTCTAAGTGATTGTATTAGTCCATTTGTGTTGATATCAGGGAATGCCTGAGGCTGGATAATTCATAAAGAAAAGAGGTATTTGGCTTATGATTTTGCAGACTTGACAAGAAGCATAGCACCAGAATCTGTTTCTGGTGAGGTCTCAGGGACCTTCCACTCATGGTGGAAGGTGAAGTGGAATTTGCATGTGCAGAGCACACTGCAAGAGAAGAAGCCAAAGAGAGAGAGAGAGGTGCCAAGCTCTTTTTAACAATTGGTTCTCACAGGAACTAACATAGTAAGAACTCACTCATTACCACAAGAACAGCACCAAGCCATTCATGAGGACAGCTCATTATGTGGACAGCTCCTATCAGGCCCCACCTCCAATACTGGGGGATCAAATTTCAAATGAGATTTGGAGGGGACAAATATCCAAACTATATCAGTGAGGTTACAGATGTCAATAATCTAATATATTTGTCGATTACAAAATCATGGAATTTTTTTTTTCCACAAGGAAAACAGGAGGAATTCTGAAAAGATGATAATGGCAAAATGATGAATTTCCCTGAATCTCTCGATAAAAACAAAGCAACTAATATAACAAAACAAAAACATGAGAGACAGCATATATAATATTGACAAGGTATCCACAAGGACTCCCCAAACACAAGCAGACTGGGAACCACAGACAGAAAGCAGAGGGATTCATGAAATCCCTGGAGGCCAGGGAACCCCCAAATCACTATTTAGTTCTCACTGAAAAGTTCAGAAACAGCAGCAGAATCTGGAAATGGCCTTTTCAGGTGCTGATTAATTGATACAACTATAATGCCACAAAGTCTGATGATGCCAAGGCATTCTGTAGGTCTGAGGCCTGTGAATTGCTAAAACTACAAACTGAAGGCTTTATCTAGGACAAATCCCTGCACTGAGGAGAAACTACAGGGAGGTGCATCCAAATAGAGAAGGGCACAGCATGAGCAACATAGACCCCATCTCTACAGAAAAAAAATTTTTTTTAATTAGCTGAATGTGGTGGTGCATACCCTTAATCCAAACTACTTGGGAGATCGAGAGCAGGAGGATTCCTTGAACCCAGGAGTTTGAGATTACGGTGAGCTATGATGGCGCCACTGCACTCCAGCCTGGCAGACAGAGTGAGACCCTGTCTCTAATAAAAGCTGAACAGGGCAGGGACACTGGGATGAAGAAATAAGAAAGTCCAGATAAAAAGCAAGAGTAGAGGCAGAAGGGCCAGAATGTACTCTTCATCACTATGAAAATAGCAAATGGGATCTTGAGAACCATGAAACTAGTAATGTTATCCTGGCCCACGTCTCCCTCCTAAAAGACCAGG